AAAGTTATAATCATTGATTACACATTGTTTACGACATAAGATCACTCCATCCTCGAAATCGCTGCCGTGTGATTCCTGCTTAACAGGTTTCACAAGCATCTTGTGTAATACTTTGTTTAGATGACTGTCTGACGCCTGGGTGACATCTAGGTTACTCGGCTCTCTCTCGTACGCGAACGTTGGCCTTCGGGTCAAACCCAAGACCAATCCCTTGTTTTCCTCTTCCTAGTATCCATGCTCTCAGCTTCACTTAAGGTCTTTTCGAACTATTGGAAAGCCTCAGGACACTACACATGTGACAGTGGAAATCAAACAAATCTTATCTTTAACGACTTCTATCCCGGTATCCACAATTTACGACATATCTACGATGCAAAGGAAGAGTATTTACTTCGAAAAGGAGATTTTCTGTATTCTTCAAAACAAAATGGTTGAGAATGATGTCTGCGTTTGGCTCCACTTTGTCCTCGTGTTCCGCAGATAAGGTAACAGAAACTGAAGCATCACCGCTGTGTAACATCTAGAAGTGTTTCGTTTCAGAAGTCTTCTTACCACATTGAGGCTGTGTATGATTCCATATTCCAGTCTAAACGTCTGTTTTAAGCCAATGTACCAAAGTCTAGTCCTGGACACGATCGGTGTCAAACAGAAATGCCTCACTACAATTCCTTCCCTCAAACCGACCGTATCTCCATATACAGTTGAAGATGCCGAGGCGACCTGATGAAGTCCTTTGACCTCATTAGTAGGCGATGCATGGCGTGGATGGCTGTATAGGGACAGAAATGTTGTGATGTCTGACACTGGAATGTTCCAAGTAGAGTTCTGCGAATGTCACTCAAACGAAGAGAGGAACAGTGTAAAACATTGTTTATGTAGTGAATTTGGGATTCGCCTTGCTCTTGTACGAGAGGGCTAGTCTTTGGACCAAGTCAGAACCCATTCTAGTCTTCAGTCCAACTTAAAACCTTCTTCTACCCAGTAGAAAGTCTCCAGTCTCTACATCTGCCTTCTTAAAATGCTTTATTGGCCACAATGGAACAAAGAATGGGGTTCAAATGTAGGGCTTCGAGATAAGCAAAAAAATTGGGCCGTGGCTTGGTCCAAAGGCCTGTTCACGAATATAAGGGCAAGGTGATAGACACAAGTAACTGCCAGATATCAGGTGGTCACATAAACAAGGCATTGCGTCAGACTTCAGAAGAAAAAATAAGTGATTCTTATCCCTCCAATGTACCTTAGACCATTCATCTTCGCTTACACGCCATTTAAACACAGCCCACACCTCTGACATTCATGTTAGATTTATCTGACGGTCTCCTGAATCTGCTTTTCAGAGACAACCATGCATAAAGTGGCCATGTCTGCAGTCTGTCACCACAGTGACCACAACCGGCATTGAGGGTTGTGCAAAAACCAAATACAACTGGAACCTAAAGTCGTTCGAAACGTTTGCTACATGAAATGTGAAATAACTACTCTAGTACCTTTGAATTGTGGGTTGTAGGTACTTCAAACGTCGGTCTATCGAGAAAACCTCGTCAAAATCAAGGATTGATATTTAATGCATAATAGTTGTTAAATATGTGCTTTGATTTGTGAGTGGAGGGAAGGGCTATTCAAAAACCGTGTCTGAGGAGCCTTCATTGTTCTTGCATTATCGTAGCAAGTTTCTAAAAAGTTCCACATAAACATGCGGCCTCTTGAGGAAGCAGGCAGTGTGTACTCCGATGACAGAACCTTCCCTCCTTCCTCTGTGCAACTTCACAATGCACAGATCTACCAAAATTCAATGCTTGCGAATTCCACCTCTTTCCCTTATTACTGAATTTTAAGCCGCACTTATGCCTTGCCAGAAACGCCTCAGATAGGCAAATGTTTGAAAAAGATTGCCATGTGTGCTGACAATAATATTGTTAATGATTAAAAAAGACAAAGGAATGAATTGGAAGCACTGAGCTCACCGAAATAGTGCACAAAAGACACTAATTCCACTCATTGTTGACACCAACTTGTTTACATCTCGCGGTGTTTTGTTCGCCCAGAAAGTACGACACAGGTGGAATGCGTAGGGACAGAAGCAGATTGTAATGTTCATTAAAGCCCTCATGAGGTGTAGGAAGAGGACGCAAAAGGGAGGTGCGTTGACTCAACACTGGTGAATCTGTAAATTTTCCCACCCACCGCAGGAGAGGTGTCATCCGTGAGCGTTGAAAATGCATGCATATGGAGTCAGGCATGCCTTGCACTTCCATGTGGATTAAGAAGTCGAAACGAGCTGCTGTGCCAACTCCATTGACTACTGATGTGATAGGAAGGCTTTCACCGGTGGAGGACATCACTGTAATGCTATTTTCCACCACAACAGCTGCTCGAGTTCTTATGAGAGCCGTACCGCTTTGTGCAAACATACTTGAACTGAGAGCAGCAGAAAATTCAATGGAGGCGACACCCATTAAGTCATTTTTCAAAATCCATCCTGACGACAAAGGAATGTAGCGTCTAACATCCATGGGAAGTCTAGTTGCACCAAAAAATCGTGTCGGTTGATCAGGAGCTGAAAAAAGGAGATTTATAATGTCCGTCAAACCGCCAGAGAACACCTGACGAGGAGGAATGGTTCCACGAAGAAAGGAAAATCCAACTGACATCCAAGGCGTCATCTTGGTATCTCCCTTTCCCATTAACACGGCAAGATGATCACCGTAGATGTCAAAACTTAGTATTTTGGCCTCACTCTCGGAGTCAATTAAGCTGAGAATGAGATTGGACATTCTAATCTCACCGTGGGGTCCAGTAATCCATTGAAGTGAGTAATCAGACAGAAAGTAGGGTCGGCTGTCCTGAAGGTCGCCATGAATGAGATTCACCTCACCGGCGGTTTTTGTGCCAGCCAAACCTGACCATCCGGCAGCAAGACCAGGTGAACAGACTCTATGAGGCGCTCCAGCATCACTTGCACCACCATAGAAGGCACCACCGTATCTAATGCATCGACACTCTGTCTCGGAGAGGAGTTCATTAGCACACCAACTGTCAACAAGTCGACGACAACTTGTCATGAGGGGCCATTGTTTCTTTTTACCAAAAGTGGCGAGAATTTTTGCCACCTCTGGTGCCGAGACCTCCAGATTGAGTAAAACAGAGAAGGCACCAAATTTAAGAATTAATTCCTCTTCCTCATTATGAAAAAATTGACCTGGTGTTGATGAGTCAATGAAGTCAATGAGACTGCTAACCACTCTGTCAAAAGCCGTGGTATTTGCTGTCAAATCAAGCTTGCCAAGCGCCTTGAGACCAACCGCTCGAATAATGGATGGCACTTGGGAATTGCTTATAAAGGCGATGAGAGCCTCAAAGAAGACACTTGATCGCATTTTCTCGATGGCTGTGAAAGTTGCCATAAATTTTTGCCGATTCAATCTGCTATCCGTATAAGGCTTACTTCCAAGACTGATAAAACTGATCAGAGTCTCCTGAACTCTGGAAAAGAGTGACTTTTCTTCAGCATGGTTGCCCTTAAATTTGGTAATTATCGAGGCAATAGCTGAGAGGCAATTATAGGGATTGATGGAGTCATCTTCGTCTGCTTGGCTACTCTTCTCCATGGCAGGAAGTGAGTGATAACAAACGGCGAGTAGTTCCTTCAACATCTTCATCGAGGGATTAGAGATGTGAGCAATTCCCGGCCATAAGACATCGGAAAGGTAGGTCCTGATTGGACGCACCTCACGGGGAGCAGCACTTCCAACCTTATCAAAGGCAGCTAAAGCTGTCACCTTTACAAGGCGTTGTCGTATCAATTCGAGACAGAGATCTGTACCACAGTCAACTACTATGTCAGATAGGTGAGTATGCCAACTCGATTCCAGTTGTCGATTCAACTCTCTATGTGAGGCAGGTATGAAGTTAAGCGCTGCGGCCACAATCTGGACAGTGGCTTGATTGGCAGGAAGACAACGAAGAAATCGGATCAGTTGGAGAGCAGCATGAGCTGTTGAAATACGCGCAGACTCTTCGAATGCTTTTGTAAAATCTTTCAACTGCTCCTGCAATCCATGCAACGCGAGAGCAACTCGAGGACTCTCGTGAGTCTCCTCCTCAAATGCCACCGATTGGATACCACAGCCAGTTGAAATACTTTGATGGGGAATAGACAGAGCCAGGTGCTCCTCTCTGTACGTGCCATCCAGTAGTTCTGTAGCCATCTAAGACCAAATTTACAAACTCTTTGATAGCGTTTAATATTACTGAATAAAGTGCAGCCAGTAACAAGTTGGATAGCCAAGTAGTATTGAAATAAGGAAAGAGAACTTACGGTTGACAATTCAGTAGACTTGGTGGTTCTTAGGCGACTACTGAGCTTCTGAATGACTTTTTTTCCCGCCTCACTTGTCGCATCCAATGCTTTCAACGTTTGCGCTCCACTAACTTGTATGTCCGCCTTGCCAGAAGTGTCAGGGTCCAGAGAGAAGGCAACTCTATGCTTTTCATGTGTCATGGCTTGCATTAATAGGCCAGTGCTACTTTCCAGGTAGTATCGTATCCAACTGTCAGTGATACGACTGTCCTTTAGCATGGGAGATGTGCTCCATACACCAGCATCTACTGGTTGACCCAGAGGTTCACACAACACCTTCTGCTTGTCAATAACCATAACTCCAGCCAAACTTGATACCTCATCGACATTTTCTACTTCAGCATAATAGGTTTGACAACGTCCAGATGTATCATATTCCACACCGGGTACAAATGAATAATGATAGTTAAAGATGCCAGCAATAGTTTTAATAAAGTTGACTTGATAATCAGAGGAATTGTAAAAGGAGGGTAGAAGAACACGTTCCACTGCACCCCATTCATTGCGCAAAAGAAGACCTTTAAAAGGGGATAGTGATCCCTCAACTTCAAGCAGTATTTGCAACAACAATCGATTATGAGTAGCCTCCATTCCTCCCAACGGTTTTCGTCTTGCTCCGACAACATGTGTAGTAATTACGACACTACCTTTAAGGGTCCTATTCAAAGCCTCATTGTCAGGTGACTCAATCCTCGTCTCATAGGCAAAAGCACGAATATCAACTTCATTATTACATAAGGACTTATGGGAAAGTAAAAGAATAAAAAAGATAAAAATAACCATAGAAGGCATCTTAGTTGCTTACAAGTGACCGTACATACACACACAACCTGAAAGCGCCAACGTGTCAGTTGACTGTCCGATGATTGGACAGACCCACTCATCCAATCCACATAGAGGTTCGATTGAAAAGTCGGCCTGTCTATGGGTGCGTGTAGACCATTCCATAGTCGATTGGCGCCTACACCATAGTGAACCTCCAATCACCTCCACTGCATGACTACCCATAATGCCATCTTGCGCTCCATGGTCAGAGAGCAGACAAAAATAATAAGTGATTCAATGCAACTCTTCAAAGGAGAGACATAGACAAGAGAAGGATGTATTTACAGGTTGAAACAACACAGCGCACTGACAAAATATCACAATTTACGGATTATGAAACAGGTATTGCGCTAATTGGACGTAGGCACTTCGATAATGTAATCAAATGCATACGGAAAACAAAGTGGTGATTTTAAATGTAACCAGTGAAAGAATAAGAGAAGGAGGCCGCATTGGAGGTGGGGGAGGGGGGAGGGAGAGGGTCAAGTAAAGGTAGTCCTCTGTTAAACAAACTGCTGCTTTGAAGGAATGTTAGCTGGTAGGAGAGGGATTCAAGGAATCCAGAGTGGTTGAAGTAGACGGTTAAACAATTGGTCATACGAAAAGTGAATTTAAAAAGATTTCAAAAAGTGTTAAATCAGTGGCATAACATTTGATCAATGAGTGAGTATTGTTAATCTTAATGACGTAGGCGAGTAGGTAAAAAGGAACATACATTTGTTAGATAAGGAGAGTGCTAGGACGTGGCTGCAGATGCTCTAAAAGGCTCCGAGCTAGGCGTATTGTCACAGAATCCTGACTCACACAACCACCAACAGTATTGTCCACTGAACGCAACTTCCAAATCACCGAGTGTAAGTGTTTAGCTGCCGGTCCAGCCATCCGACCCAAGCATACATGGTCCGATTCGGAGAGGCGTCGAAGAATGCGTAGAAGGAGGCGCTTACCATCACGATGACCATTTCGACGAAGGGCCACTGTGAAACCACGCAGACCTGCAGCTGAGAGGGCTGTACGACAGTACTCACCACCATAGAGAGAAGCAAGGCTGGCCAATGCCCTTGTCGATAAAGTGACCAAACTAGCAGCCACTTCTTGTTCGTTATCTGCATTAGGATTCGTGCAACCTCTGTCAACGGAGTCAGGTGATGAGGCTTCAAGAAAGGAGGCAAGAATACCCGGCAGATGTTTGGGAGGTCGAGACAACGAAAGAAGCTGAAAGATTAAATGCAGTGAATCCCATTTGGACCAACAAGAAGACGCCAACATGTTATTGCAGTCAACACGTACCCTTTCTGCAACAGAGCAAGCATCTTCTGGACTTTTGGGTAAAAAATCAGTTATGCTGTATTCGTGTTGACCATTTTTTAGGGGTTGACATAGATGGGAGCGGTCTGCGCATTTGCTTTGCCTACACCGCAGAGCGTAGCGAACCACGTCTGTTAGCAAATTCAACAAGGTGTTGAGCAACTCCAGTGCCACAAGTAAATGTCGCACACCAACAGTTTCAGCTGAAATCTTTAGTACGACTGAGCTCTCTTGGGAAGGGGATGGTGTGACGGAGAGAGAATGGCAGCTGGGATGATGAATTGAAGCATCAGAAAATTTACGTCGCTGAATAAAAATACACTACTTAAAACGTCTGAGTATACTTTGTTTAAACATCAAATGTAGCAATGACTTACCTCATGTCGAAGGACATATCCACCCATACTAACTAACACATTGTACACAACAGAAAGAGGATTTTGTGCCTGTTCAATGCAAGGTGCGAGGATGAGATGAAAAAGACCCGATTCGTGAGGCCAACGGGAAGTGAGGGTAGAGAGTAGACGAAGAGCAAGAAAGCACTGAACGGAAAAACGTCGAGGGCCACAATCACAACCAGTAACAAAGTCTATTAAACAGAGGGGTAGGTTAGAGATACGACATATTTTTACAAGAGGCAAGTGACTGTTTATACAGGAGGAATGGTTAAGTGAGGAGTCGGTTGAATAGCGTGATAATTGGAGACAATCTAAAAGGAGGCGTAGGAAGTAGGTAGAAGGGGTGATCTCATGAAGATCCAATAGTAGAGAGGCCTAAAAGAGCATGAAAGTGGTGTCATTCAAAAATGAAATAATTGGCAGTAATTGTTTGGTGAGGGGGGAAAACAAAGAAGTTACGTCAAGACGAGGGGATTAATCATATTGGAAGAACAAATATGAGGCTAAAATCTACTACCTTTCACGGTTGTATGTGGATCCATAGCATCAAAAGCAAACAGATACAAGGAGAGGGATGGAGAGATTTGTAAGGTATGAGGGTGGTTTAAGTGCAGAGAGAGGTGAGATGCTATTAACATGACAACGCAAAATCACCCACTTCCAAGGTAATGTTAGAATGCAATAAGCTTACCTGACTGGATCTTGAATGGAGAGAAAAAAGGAGAAAAGTAAATTACATGAGGATACGAGATGGAGAGAAGGGAGGGGAGAGGACGCTGCCTACAGAAGGCATCAAAAAAATTAAGTCGCAATGTAGACCTACGTAGGGAATAAGTAGGTTGTTGACAATATCCACAACAGCAAGTAGAACTTCGGGTGAGGGACCTTGAAAGTTGTTCTTCAGAGTAGAGGTAACTTTGTAGCTTTTTAGGCTCTTAACTCCAGTGGAACTACTCCCATAGAAGCTGTTTGGACGATAGGAGGAGACACGCGAAGAGGATCGGGTGGAAATAACCGATGAGGAGGAGGAGGATGATACAGGCCGTTTATTCTCTCCACCCCGAAGGGAGGCTGTGCGATTTACGCCACTTCCACGTGGTGGAACAGAAAGTTTGGAGTTGAGTCTATCACTGGAGAGTGGTGAACGGACAAGTCCAGACAGTCGACTCGAGGAGTTCTTCGGCAAATTTAGACTGATGTTGGACGAAGTCAATGAGTCAGTGTCCTCACTTCCACCGCACCAAATGTTCTTCATATCCAAAATGATCTATTCATTGATTTCAACACATTTGAATGATCATTTTAATAAGATTATTTAGTCAAAAGATCTGATTTTAAATTTAATGACACGTTCTATCCTCATCTCAGGCAGAATGTTAGCAGGTTCAAAAGGGCGGAAAAGTGGATTGCAGTAGGAGACAATTACCAAAATGTACCTTCACACAGATAGTTCGAGTGATAGAATCGGAGGCTGGGGCAACAGCAAGTCGAGCAATGGCTGGAAGTAGGGCTTTGATGAGATCGGCTCGACGAGCCTCCACCACGTCTATCTGCCGACTTATATCCTCCGCCAGGGCCAGTGTTACATTGAGTAGTTGATTCTCTGGACTGTCTGAACGATGCACGCCTGTGAGGGTACCTACAAGTATCAAATACTGGGAGTTATCTAGCCACACTGGCACAAACCTTTTCCTTTCATCAACGTGAAGCACGATGGATTTCTAAGGTCTTCAGCAAATGGACATTTGTGAAGTAGGCAGATGACCTCAAGGCGTAAAGGTGTTTTCTAGACATTTAGCAGATTCTCAATGCATAAGGTCAGTGTTTACTTTCATGGCGCAATGCTAAAGCACAAGGCCTTTTTGCACTCAAAGAGACTAATGAATAATAAACCGTGTCAAGTTGATGCTATTGTGAGGAGGGAGAAAAGGAGACTCGTGTACTCAAAATGGGATGTTAAACTAGGAGAAAAGTAGATATAGTTCGTGTCTGACGAGGAGAAAAAAAAATGAAATTGCAACATACAGGTGGTATCATTGTTGCTATGATAACCCAATTGTCTTGCCTTGTTGCCTGCAAATGAGTGTAAGGCTTAGGTGGTAACTGTGAGCGCTATTAGCAGTGGGAGGGTGAAAAAAAATATGCAAGTATGATAAAATTAACGCAACTTCATTCCAACTTACATATGCGTGAGGTCACTGTCAAAGGTCAAAAAATTGAGAACAAATGAATTCCCATAGGTCACGGGTTAACCCATTTTCGTGCTACACTATCGTTTTATTCCGACAGGATAGGTGGGGAAGAGGGAAAGTGTTTGCATAAATAACTCAATAAAGGCCCAACGAATGGAAAACGACAATGACCACGCCCTCAGTTGCATTGAAGTCTGACGGAGATCATACATACGTACTGCCCTTGAATTTATTGTGGACTGGACATAAACTGCAAGAGATAAACGTGAAAATCTACTTCATCGTAGAGACCTTAAAAAATTTTGACATACATTTGTGAACTCAAATGATATAGCTGCCAAACTGTGATTACATGAAATGTGACCAAGATCGAATGATAATAATTGCTTGCTCTCCCTTACCCTTAAACATTGTTGGCTAGTCTATTATTTTGCATTAAAATTGGGTGGTAAGTAGAGGAGAAATGCCAAATAAATTGACTCTCACTTGATCATGTGTGTGTACGCGTGTGTTTGTGTTTGTGTTTGTGTATGTGAAGTAACGAATGACAATAAAAACGAAGGGATTGGTGAATCTCAAGTAGAAAAATGCAAACGTCGCATTTCGTATTAACAATCAATAGACTTTC